ATGTCCAGTCTAAACCTCCCCTGGTGCAGCTTTGAACCATTCCCACGTGTCTATCGCTGGATACCAGGGAGAAGAGATCAGCACCTCCCTCTCCCCTTCCCCTCCTCAGGAAGCTGTAGAGGGCAATGAGGTCGCCCCTCAGCCTCCTTTTCTCCAAACTAGATGAGCTCCAAGTCCTTAGCTGCTCCTTATAGGACATTCCTTCCAGCCCTTTCACCAGCTTTGTTGCCCTCCTCTGGACTGTAGAGGGCAATGAGGTCGCCCCTCAGCCTCCTGAGCTCCAAGTCCTTAGCTGCTCCTTATAGGACATTCCTTCCAGCCCTTTCACCAGCTTTGTTGCCCTCCTCCGGACACGTTCAAGGACCTTCACATCCTTCACAAATTGTGGGGCCCAGAACTGCACACAGTATTCAAGGTGAGGCTGCACCAATGCTAAATTTGGGAACTCAAGCATCCGTATCTCAAGTACCATATCCTCTCTCTTGGGACTCACCTGTGTTGCCAGGCCAGCTTCTCTTGCAACATCTCTCATGGTGCTCCTAATTTTAGTCTTGCCTATACACAGCAAGGAGGGGGTGAAGGGGAAGGTGCTGTCCCTTGCCAAACCACCCCCTTCTCAACATGGATTCAGGCCAGGCACAGTACTAGTCTCCCACTGTCTCTCCACCGCTCCACACTCAGAAAAGACAAGTTCTCCGGCACTTCATTGGGAAGGAATTGGATGAAGCAACACAGGGACATCATTTGAGGTAACACTGCAGCGAAGGTACTTCCCTCGCACTAGCTGTTCTTGTGGCCAGAGACAGCAGCGGGTGCTCAGTTCGTAAGTTGACTCAGTTACAAAATTTTGTCCTAGCAGTGGGACACAGATCATAGTAATGAATAGCTCTGTGGTTCCTTACAGTAATGAGATGATTATGATGCCTTAACTCTAATCCTTTGATGCAAATCATGCTCAGCTCTGCATTTCACCTAGGTACAATGACATGGGCGAGAGGAAAAAAACCATGTGGAGCAAATTGGTGTCAAATTCTGAAGGGCAACATTTTTTTAAATGGTTTCTTGGATGAAAAAGGTAAAGATCTATATAAAATGTTTAATGGACAGTTTGCTTTAATTATGGTCTAATGCAACCATGAGATATATAGGCAAAACGTTGTGCAGAGTTGTATCCATTCCCCATCACATGACCCTAAGCACATTCCAAACTGAGCAGTACTACTGAAAGGCTTAGTACACCCATGTCTGTGCAGCAAAATTTGAGGCCAGCACTGTACTTGGCTAGAAGTCATCACTGACACGTAGTCTGCACAAGCAGACACAAAGAATCATTTAGAATAGCCTTCCTTTATCAAAATGCAGACCTGACGGGACATACAGCTAGGCAAAGTTGCATAAAGTATGGTCTCTAAAAGCACAAAGGAAAAATGCGACTGTCGCCCAGTATTCGTACAAGACATAAACCATGATTACGATACTCTTTAGTTATAAGATACTCTCAGTGTCTTTCACTGCATTTACTTTTTGATCAATATTTCTTAATTGGGGAAGTGAATATAAGAGTGTAGCCAAAGATACTGTGTGCAATTTATTTAATAGCATTGTAGAACAGCAAATCCATTCCTTTAGAACACGATTATCAGTATGTTTCTTGAACCAAGGAGAAACCTATGGGCTCCCATAAACCAAAATCTTCCGCAGGAGCAAGTTCAAAGTAGAACACATTACATCTTTAAGACTGTTGTCATTAAAGGCCTGTTCCAGATCAGAAGTTAGTATTATGGTCATAAAATAAAAAGTATTTCTTTAAAACAATTATAGCAAACATTCCCTGAGAATTAAGAATCGGCAACCATTGCCAGATTGGTTTTTCTGTTACAGTGCAGAAATGTTACAGCACATTCTCTCCATTCAAAGATCATGCAGGAAGATAAAGGCCACAGTTTTTATTTACTATGTGCATCTTCTGGATGCGCTCATTTTTCAAGAGAATTAAATCCAGATGCAGCAACCCTCAGCACTGAAGCTAACCAGGACATGAGGGGAGAGAAGGCAGTTAAGAAAAGGTTTAATCCACACGTTGAGTGTGCGTGTTCAGAATTCCGTGGTTTTTTTCCCGTGCTAGGTTTTCTGAATTTGCCCTTCCAACTGATAGGCAGCTATGGCAGCATTCGGGAATATCCCCCTCCCTCCCTCACCCCAGAAACACGCATATAAAATATATACCCACCACCAAAATGTTCCACTCACTCAGACATGTAACTTGTAGTCTAAGCAGAAAAGGGAAATAAAGCAGAAGAGTGGAGTAACTATTACGGTTGAAATAATCAATTTTAATGCCTAAAATTAGATTTTATGGCCCATGGTATTGCTGAAAGCTGTATGCAGCACAGCTTTATCATTGCATCATTCCTCAGCACACAGCATTAAAGTGCAGTAAACATTTGGAATTTGGTGCAACACACTGTTAACAAAAATCTATACTTTTTGTCATTAATTCAGCTCGAGAAGATGGCATTCTGGGTCAGTTTGCACTGACTCAGAAAAACAGAAGACCTTATCAAGATCCAAATTCTCATGTTGAAGAGGTTTCTTTCTTTCTTGCCCTAACACCAAATCGATATATGCAGGTAGCCACGGAGAGATACGCAAGTTCCCTGGCTCTTTCTCCAAGAAAGCACAATCATTCTTTCCTTGCAACTTGCAAGTCTTTGCTCCGCTGAATTCTTTCTTTCATTTCTTCAAAGCATCCAGCAGTATCTGGCAGTGTCTGCTATTGCTTGATATATGAGTGGTGCAACCCAGAAGTGTCGTTAACAGGAGACTATGAAAACCCAACCAAAGATCTGCAAATAGTCTTTTGATGGTAAAGACTGATGATACGGGGTAACAGCAGAAATGAGAAAGTTTTAAGAAGGTAAAAAAATAAAAAAAGGCTAGCAGGAAACCAGGAGAGAAGCCTAACATGTACCAGTGAGAATGGCAGGAGTATCACAGTTGGATCCTGAAAGAGTATTCAAAGGAGACTGGAGAAGCATAAAAACTGAATGCCTCTACTTGCTGGTATTTTCATCTGAGTTTTTCTGGGGCATGTGGGCTGAGGAGTCAAAGTGGGCACGCAAAGTACTCAACCTACCTGTAACATGTTGGGCATATTCTTCTAAGTATAATAGCTTGGCCGCACTGGATCTGCTATGCTTATGCCACACAGTTAATCCGCATGTATGTAGGTTCAGCTGGTCTGGACATCAGCTCTCACTTTGGCCAGGCTGTCAGAGGTCCAGAAACACTGAATATATGACCATATTCCTCTTCTATCTCTTGGAAAAACTTTCTAAGTGAAAATAGAAGACAAGTCTAATAAAAAAGATGGTTGCCCTATCTCTAAATCTTGGAGATTGTGATCCAATTAGTGTTGTATATATTTAATTTTTTCCTAAGCATTTTCTCTACCATGAGAGTATCTTTCTGCATGACTTCATCAACTGTTTTACTCAAGGAGATCTAAGGGGAAAAAAAGTATGAAAATAATCTTTACCATCATTGTGAAGCGACCATCAAAAAGGTTAAATGAATCAGCTGGCTATAAACTATGACATTTACTGTCTATGAAGAGTATTTGTCATATTGCACAAGAAAATAATGCAACGTGAGTCACAGCAAAACATATAAATGCATCTGAGTGATACAAACTTCAGTTGACATTACAGTACTTTACAGTGAAAAGCCACTTTTTTTCCTTTCTTTTCTACAGTGAGATTATCTCAAAATACACTGCCAGTTACTTTTATTCTTTATAAGGATCAAGAAGATTCAGGCCTCTGCTCTCATCATTAGCCAGACAGACGACAAAATTGTGTTGGTGACTCTACTGTAAAGACACCAGCTCATACCTGCTACGGCCACTCTTTGGCCATTCAGTAGCTGTTGAACGTTTTGCTGGCTCAAGTATTACCTGTACAGTAAACCAAGCCCTAAAATCTCCACATGCTTAAGTGCACAACACTCTGTTCAAGCAGAGTTTTACTTAAAAAGAGACACTAAGATCAGTGACACAGGTGACACTTTAGCACAAGTCTGGTAGTGGGGGAAGAGAGAAAGGCTCCTGGTGTGTCAGATCATCTTCACTTTCTCTCTAGACAGGAACTGCAAGACAGGATGGCGTATAGATCTTGACTAGTTCGTCCCAAGCACAGTCCACCACCTACAAAGCAAACAAAATCTATTTAGATCCTTCATTAGCGTCATTTTTACAAAAAACAAAAGAAACTTAGAAGAAATTAATGCATACTGTGGAGTTAATGCTGGTTGGTACTCTGATTTACAATGCTTTAAAATTATATAATAACGCAGTTGGTTTTGTTTTTAAAACTTCGTCTTAACTTTACTGAGGTGCAAGAAAATGAACAATCTCCTATTTTTCATGCTCCCATGAGGAAAACGGGGAAACCTTTGGGTTTCAACTGATTGTTCCAAATAGGCTAAAGAACATAACTGAGAATGAAATGAAGGAAGGACACACAAAAGTCCAGACCTTGTGGTGGTGCTTCTCTTTACAGGGTCTCAGGACCCTTTTACCATGACATCTAATCACTTCATGACCAAATCTGAACAACTTTCTTATACTTGCAGGTAGGGAAAATTGTTACAGACGTTTTCCTAATGGAGAGCTGAGGAATGGAAAAACAAAGAAGTTGACCAAAATGACGCAGGAAGTTTCTTGAAGAAAGAACTTCAGTCTCACAATGATAAGCTACGAGATCACTATATTGTCTTTTGTTTAGAAGAGAGATGTCTATTTGCTGAGCATTGAGAATTGCGGGGGTGGTGGTGTTGCTTCAAGCACTACCCAGTCCCCACTAGTCTGATGAGAAGTGATGCCACTTGTGCCAATGGCATCTTATAAACACAGCGACTGACTGCAATATAACTGAAACTTTTCTGAATTGCAAGTCCCAAGCTCTATTCTAGATGCAGGTTTGAACCTAAAATCACAAAACCAGAAGGTTAACCTAATTCTATAGCATTAAAAGATTTTAATAAATAACAAGATTCCACAGAAGACGACTTTAGGTCTTTAGACCATTCTTTAGAATGCTTTAGGTTTGAAATTGGTTTGATAATTCACTTCAGAGTCTGTAACAAAGTGAAAGGGTTAACCACACTGACAATTACTCAAGTAGATGACCTATAATACGTATTCACAAGATACTGTGGGAGACAAGAACTAAGGCAAAGGGAAGAGGAAAGAAGAGAGCTAAAGATAAAAAGCTGATGAGCCCCACAAATATATGCCAGTAAATCTGGCTGAATCCATCTTGCATTATCTTTACAATGTCCTTTCCAGTTGGGATCACAAAGGATACAGTATTGGATCCTCTGCACAACAAGCTTCCTTCTGCTGCAGACTGCAATTCCTGTTCTCTTCTAGAGCCAGAATGAACAGCTGCACACCAAAAATTTGGAAATCCAACTTCAATATTTGATTTCAGACTATAATTAGCCCATTTTGTGTTTACTATGCTGCACTATTATTCATTTTTATTGCTTCCTTAGCTGGTTCTACTTAGTTATTTGAAGTGCTTTCCACATACATCTAAATGGATCAAAAAATCTCTTGACAACGTGTCTGTCTATTCATACGACATAATAGAGCTTTGTGTAATATAATGTTCTGCTGCATTGCAGTCCCCCAAATCATACCAAAAAGAAAATCTGAGTTCTCCACTAAACGCTATGTAGAAACTGGCAATCACATAAAACAGTTTTTTTTAATATTCTCCACAGCTCTGTTCAATATCTGTATGTATATAGGCAACACTTTCTACTTTCATAAAGAAACAAGAAACAGAGATAACATTTGGAAAAAATCCCATGGGAATTCCCACCTGGTATCAATGTAATTAGCATCCTTGAAGTAGCCTTTGAACAAATATAGTTACAGAACCATTTAATCTAGCAACACTAAAAATAAACAGGGGATATTAAAAGGGAGTTTGAAAAGGATCATGTGCGGTAATTTGCCCAACTCATTGACTTAATGATAGCACGTGAAAGATGAAAACATAACCAGCAAACAAAAGGAAAATAAAAGCTACAGCAAATAACAGTGCATCATGTTCTCCTGTGCCGCAGGAAGTCTATAATGGAATACTGATATCAGAAACCTTCATGGAAATACACATGCAAAGAACAGCAAACAGGTATGTATGGGAAACTGGGACACTACAGCATGGAACAGCATTACAAAATGCAATAGCATTTCCATTTCTCCATAATACTTTCTCCAAAATACAGCCAAGACTGTAAGAGAAAGGGGACAACTGTAAGCTAACAGTGCGGCAGCCAGCATTAACTGATGGACAGCTGCTACATGCCCCTTTGCCGTATCTCGTAGATTATCACTGCCTCAAATACAAATGACTAAAATGAACCCTGGGATGAAGAGAAGTGCCTGCTCATGCAGCTACTGCCATCAGTTTACAAAATGTCTTCTCCTTTCATTTCGCCTTTTTTCTTATGACCTGTCTTACACAATGGTCTTATGACCATTGTTTGCCTTTCCCCAGAAGAGGGGAACATAGGATATTGAATATAAGTGCTTTAAAAGTATTTAGAAATGTCAGTTCTCATGTAACATATGAACATTTTTAATACATACTTTAAAGCACTTTAGCCAATTTTTTTTAATAAACTAAATGCTACTTAATTTAAATATTAAAACAGCAGCAGGAATTCCATTGGGACGAGGGCTGATGCAGCAGTAAATAAATATGGCATTAAAAAAGCCACAAGTTTCTAGAGTTTATATTTTGATCAATGAGATGATAAAAAAGCCACAAGTTCCTAGAGTTTATATTTTGATCAATGAGATGATGCTACTAACAGGTGGAGAAAATCATCCTGTGGTAGGATGAAGGACAAAGGAAAATTGAAAACGGACTCACACATTATTTGCATACCTGATAAAAGTCCTCGCCATTAGGAACATGAAGGCATGGAGGTTTGTCTTTCTGTGAAAGTGTCCACTGTCTTGGGGACAAACGTTACTCTCAGATTGAAACAAATCTCACTGATTTCAGTATTTAGAGGGTGCATGATTTACAATTTTTTTTTTTGAGCTGACATGCAAACAGAGTAGAAGACAGTTTTATTTCAGTTGCAAAGAACTGTATAAATTATAATATACGATTGAATATTTGGACAACCGTATGCCATGCAATTTTCATTATCATTTAGGAATACTAAATTGCTCTTGTAACTATAGAATAAAATTCTACTATAGCAACTTTTAACTATCAGAAATTGCAGGGAAAAGGAGAATAACTAGAGCTTAATTGTAAAACAAGAATATCCTACCTTACACTGACTGGTAAATTACATCAAGAAATAATGCAAATAGAAAAAGCATTCTAAACCTGGTAGCTTGAATTATAAGTAAAGCTATACGGGACAAAGACAGTCTAACAAAATGACACATTTACTACTTGTCTCTAATGCTTTTATTTCAGCAGCAAAGTTGCAGTACTAGTGTATATGCTAGGCGTACTGTACTGCTATTACTGCAGAATAAACATCATGCCAAGTTATCTGCCAGTAGAGATTTAAGCAAGTCTATTTGAAGCACATAAAATGGGGATCACTGTATTTCCCTTCAAGTAAAGCCAAAAAGCAAGCAAACAAAAAACTGCAGTCATCACAGGAAGCTGATTGCGTGACTAGAAAATCATACTTTAACTCAAACGAAACAGCTATCCTGTATTTTATTATCCTTATCCCAGAGCGTAACAATATTTCCCACCAATTGATTTAATATTGACATCCATTCATTTATCAAAGCCATTTCCATTGACTCACTAACTGATTTACTCCTCTGACAGGCCCTCTGTTTCCTATTCATCACAATCATCTTGCTTTGCTATAGACTTAGACCTTTTCCAGCACCCGAGGGCAATCCATTCAGTCCAGTGCAATTACCTGCATGACATTCTGCCTCTTTACTGTTCAGCAGAAGCAAGAAAACAAGAGAAATCTCCCAAGTCAGTAACTAACTTTTTTTTCAATATTTGAAGGCGTAATAAACCCCCAAGCCCTAACCAAGATTAAATACATTCAAAAGAACAACTAAAAACTTTGAGTTCAGTAACCCCTTTATTGAAGGGGTTTAATCAGAAGAAAGTACAGCCCTCTCCAGATTAGTATTTCTGGAAGTATCTTGGTGCCACTCAGCTTCCAGAGTGCTCATAATAAACCATAGGATAATACACAAATGTGTCTGAAAGTGACCCATTTTTCTTCTCAGCTTTTCTCCGTCCCATCCCATCCCATTTTCAAATAAAACTAGTAAGACCTGTCTTTTTTCTGTAGAAGACACAGTGGATAAAGTATTCAGTTCTTCACTTCCATTAATGTTGTGTTTCCCTTCCTCTTTTAGTTTATCTTCTGCGTCTTTTCATACAGAATTTAATGGTCTATTTATATCATTGTTACCTATTTTTGACGGATCCTGAGCATCCTCTGTAAGCGTGTGGGATGGAGATTAAGTGAAGATAAAGCAAGCTATTAGGTTTGCTACTCATCAAATTACTGTCACAGGTGATCATTAAAACTGGTTGGTTAAGCGCATAATGGATCATGCATGAGTTTAAATGCATTCAATACCTATTTTGTACTAGAAAATCCAAACCAGTGGTGTGGCCTTTTGTTTGGTCAACAGTTGCCAGGGGGGAACTGCACATGATGCCTACCTTTACACAAGAGTGAAAGTGATGGGAGTTTGTAAATTAAAACTTTTTATTTTCAATGTGCAATAACACCAATCATTTTTTAATTTACTTTTGAAAAAAACACACACTGATTTAATTATTATTGCCAGTAAAGACAGAATAAAAGAAACTGTGGACCAGAAGGTCTTATAAAGATCTAGGTTCAAACTACAGTTATCAGAAACAGATGTTCCAAATACTGCTTAAGAAATCTGTTTCTTTAAGGAGAGAAAAGACTTAAGGGGCATTATTTTTCAGATTGCAAAGATATGTCACAAAGAACTGATCTAAAAACCAGGGAGCTGTCTCAACATTTGTTTCATTGCTCTGACACGGGCAACAGAAAGATGACTTGGTAGTTGTGCTACACATTTCTAAATGCAAGACTTCCGAGTGTGTATTTCATCAGTAAGATGTAAAGGAAATTGAGATGTGAGTT